GCAAATGGTTCAGTGTACTTGATTTGCGAAGTAGGTATTATCAGATTCCCATGGAAGAAACTGATAAAGAAAAGACTGAGTTTATTTGCCCACTAGGATTTTATCAGTTTGAGTGCATGCCTCAGGGGATTAGTGGGGCCCCTGCAACCATTCAGACAGTCATGGAGAAAACATTGGGTGACATGAATTTTCTGGAATGTGTCTTGGGGTTGGGTCTGATGAAGATTCACCAGTTTCCTATGGGAAATATGTAGAGAGAATGAGGCAGCAATTAAAGAATGCATACGAGTTGGCAATGGCTGCATCTGCATGTGCAAACAAAGAAAACAAACTGAGGTATGATAAGAAAGTGCATCCTCAGAGTCTGAGTCCTGGAGACAGGGTGCTTATTCAGAACCTTGGGTTAAAAGGAAAGCACAAACTTGCAGAACGGTGGCATTCCATGCCATATGTGGTAGAAAGTCAGTTGTCTAACTTGCCTGTCTATCAATTGGTACCAAAGAGTGGTAATGGGGCAAAAAAGGTTCTGCATAGAAACCATATCTTGCCCTTGAAATCACAAGTGAAAGTGAATTCTGCAAAGTGAAAGCCCGAGCCCTATATCAGTTTGTAAGACCAGAAAGAGACGAAATGAGAATGAAAACCCCATGTCTGAGCCTGTTTACCCTGAGCAGAGAAATGTTTCCTCATCTGATTCTGAGTCAGAATATGGTTGTGGTCCTTTTATGTATGTTGATCCTAACTCTCTAGGAGTTGAACATCCGGATCGAGACCAGCAAGATAAGGATGCTATTGTGCCTGATGTTTGTGATTTAGGTCAACTGTTTGGAGATCAAGTTGAGACTCTAGATGAAGAAAATGTTGACACAGAAATAGTGGGTGATGAAGGTGAAATTGAACAGCAGCCTGAACATACCAATAACCTATCTGAGACCAGTGTTCCAGTGAATTCAGGAGTAGAACCGTCTGATGTGCTTGATAATTCTTAAGTGAGGAGATCTGAGAGGCAAAGAAAACCCCCTGAGAGGTTTACTTATCCTGAGCTAGGAAGACCTGTTAAGGAGACAATAGTTGTTTCCCATTGCTGTGGGGTTGGTGGACATGGAACTGAGTCTTCATGTTGACTCAACTGAGTAAACATGGTGAAAACAAACATGTGTGGTGGTGTAATTCTCAAGCATTGTGTAATATGTGCATGAGAAACTCAAAGACTTTTCCTTGCACAGTCCCTAGAGTGTGAATCTGGAATTAATCATTTGAATACAAGGTTTTAGCATACTTATTTTATTTTTTTCTTTGTGTGTTCCTCTTAAGTCCAGACATGGGGGCATGCTGGAATTTGGTGGGGGAGAGTGTAACCCTGTGAATATTTGTACACATTTATTTTATTTAAAGTTTTTTTTATGTATTTTAAATATTGTGTGTACATACATTGGAGTTTGAACATATTATGCA